TCACTTTCTTATTAAATGCAAACTCCAGATTGTTTGAAGAAGTGTAAGTCTTACGAGAGGGATATCTTCGGCGAGAAAATAAACTGGCAGAATGCGCACGTGTTATTCCGGTGGAGGACGTTCCCGACAAAAATCTCTGCACTTTCACTATCTTGAATCGAAATGCGTGACAGGCGGGGGATGCGGGACAGACGGCCGGCAGGTTCAGAAAAACGGGGAACTTGGTTCGTTTATTGGCCGTATCTCAAGGCTAAACCGCGCGGAAGATGCACACGGTGGATCGCGCGCCCGCATGAACGGATGTGTGAACCTGACGGAAGTCAGATGTACTCGCATACGCTTAGCACCTTTTTGCATCCGCTTAAGTAAGAAACCTTGCGGCAAAATATCTTGTTCGGAGAGTCGGTCGACAATCTTGAAACACACGAGTTATAGAGGCGAGCGCGAACGGAAGCGCGTATCTGTTTGCGCAACGCGCGTATTTTTAGAGGAGAAAGGTATCAAGAATCGCAACAATCGCGGCTGAAAAAATGGCAATCTTAAGCGGAACAAACAATATTATTTGTATACTGATAGATCAAAATTATTGAAAAAAAGCTTTTTTCAGAATTATTCTATTTGCATCAAAATAATTTTGCTTGAAAAACACAAAGGCATATTTTGCTTCAAAGAGTTTTATAACATTAGAGCGAATAAAATAAAAATAAAATAATTACATAATTTTCTATAAAAATCCAAGAAAAACGATTATTAATTAAGACGCTGCGCAGAGTCGTACTTTGCGGAAGTCGACGATTGGCGTTACAGAAAAAATGGTTCACTGAGACCTTTGACCTTCCGCACTTTCTCCGCGAGCATGCCGACGGTCTTGCCGCAGGAATTGTCATGCTCTTTGAGATTCACCGATGATTCAATATTGGCAAGTTTGACCTTTACATGATACAAGTTAGTTAAGCCGAAGCGAGAGTTTTAATAATTACCAATGGAAGCGCGCAGGGAGATCGCGCGAAAGTTGCTAATGTGAGGACGATAAGGGCGCGTTCGTCCAGTTCGTTTTCTTAATTGCCGCGGACTCGGGAAATTATTCCACATGTACTTAATGAGGAGGCGATTTATGTTCCTTCGCAGCGGGACTAATGACTTTTACGTGTAAAATTACTCCGGGAAGCAAATATCACGACATGGTAGCCTAAGGCACAGCTTCTCGCGGGTTAATACTCGCTGAACGGAGATGCGAGTGCTCGAGTAAATTGAAGTAAAACTTCAAATTAGAAATTAACAATTAAACTCTTACGAGAGTTTGGACTAATGTCTAGTGCGTGTTAACATTTATTTTAATATCTAATCTTAGGCCTTCCATAAATAATTTTACATAAACGTGGTATTTTAACTTTTTTAATTACTGATATTTATTGTAGTTTGCATATAAAGTAATGATATTTATTTTCAGCAATTTAGACAAATCAATTTTATATCTTTTTTGACAGTTCCAAAACAGACGGAATTATATACAGCGATTTCTCAACCCGGAATCTTTTTGAATCAATGTATTCATCATAAATTATATTCTACAAAGTGTCCAAAAACTTGGATGTTCTTTTTAGAAGATTCTCTGATCAATTTCGATCATTTTGGAGTCTTGACACACTTTATATATGTAGATAGTAGCTCGAATAATTTATAAGACTTTTGAGTAAATAAAGATCAAAGGTTCAATAAATCTAAATATTTTTTCTTTAAATAACGATGGTATTCCCGATGAGAAATCTGAAATTTACATTTTCTCAAGGCAAACTTCAGTATCTCGATGTTTTAATTTTCAGATTTAAATATCTCGCTCTCATCATGTTCATTAAACTTTCGCAATTTTTGTGATGGCAACTTTTGAAAGTCATCTAAGCTTTTCGTAAATTGTTTCTTAATATAGTGTATATAAAACGAAGAAACGCGACTCGCAAGAATAGACCATAATTGGAGATATCCGTCGTTGCCGTCGTTACTATCATCACCTGCGATTCTAAAGAATTCCCCTCTATCATCTCCAGGACCGTTTTATCCGAGCGCGAAATCCGCCGCTCGTGATCACAAACACAAGCGGCTGGAAATCAGCGAAGAGGAGTCCTTACGCCCACTCTCATACGCGGCGACTAGAGAATTGCCTCTGTAGGTGCAAATATCGTTCCATCTACGAGCGAACCGAAGACAACTTTCGCCCTCCAAGGCTGAGAAGATTCCTCGCGCGGCGCGCGGAGCTCATCGCGGCGCGCGTAATAGAGACGGACGGACGGACGGACGGTCATTGAAAAATATGATGCTCGACTCGTTAATTACCCCGTTACGGGGCACGTACGCGCGGTGTCGAAACGAGCCGCTAACGGCTAATGGATATCGCGTACACCAATGAGAAACGAAATTGCACGAGCCTGACCTACGGAGATTAATGTGTACAAAGTATTCCAGTAATTTTGCCCATTTATGAGCGATAATCAATATTAAGAGGTGTGGGCTTGTAATTAATTTCTTATTCCTTTCTTTAAATTGCTGAAAATAATTAGAAAATTACTTTGACCAAATATGTGGATTAAAATGCATTTCAGCAATTAAGAAAATTTAATTAACACATTTGCATAAATTTGTTTGTAGGAGAAACTGAGATGTTGAAGTAAATTTTTACGTACAAAATTTCAGATATTTAAATTGAAAATTGAAAAAAGTGATTTTACATCTTATTTCACGGCTCGCAAATGCGACGACAATTTTGCAAGCGGAGTTCTTTGGATTCTACATAAAATTATCGCGCAGAGTTTTTTTCCGCTTCTTTCTCTTTTTCTCTTTTAAGGTATTGCACCGGCGGCGCGCTGTAGGATGCAAGGCATGCTGAATTGCGAAATTTCGATTGTCGAGGTACGACCTCGATCTTCGTGCGACGGCGGCAAGTGAATCGGGCCACTTGATTCCCTGCTCGTAAGGCAGACCCTTCGCATGTTCTGCGCCGCATTACATATCTACTTCAGTTTCGACTCACGGAAGCGATCCTATCGCAGAATCGACAGTGGTGCAATTCTACTTATAACGAAACCTTCTCTTTGATCAGAACGATTTCTATCTGCAGTGCGAAACCGTTTGTCCGCCCGCGTGGCTAATTGTCCGAGGTTACATAGCTAATATCAGAGAAACTTGAGAGAGAAAGTTCAGCTCTTTCGAGTTCCACGATATCAAAAGTCATTTCGAGACAAAAGTATCTAAAATGCCGCCCAAGAATTTTCTCCGTCCGCGCGTAATTCTCGCGTAATTATCCAACGACAAATTTCGTTCAGCTATGTCAAGTATCTAACGTCGTTAGAACGCGGTCCCAGATAATGGAACGACCCGCGAGGCCGCTCGTGCGAGCTAAACATTCTAACGACAAGGTACTCGCTGTACTCCTCACTGCTGGAATGCAGCCGAGCACTCCTTGCAGCGATGCACCCTCCGACGAGTGCAACAAGTCGCGATCTCACTGGCAAAGGCCACCAGACGACCGGTCACGCCGAACTTGCGCCAGCAGACAAGACGAGCGTTTCTATTTTCTATCGCGATAATTCAGAAATATAAAGAGAAGAAATAGGAGTGCAGAGAGACAAAATGTTAATATTTTTACGACTCGCGATAGGATAAAAAAACTTAAACGGATTTGGATTTAAAAAAGTCCTAGATCTTTTCTATCTCAAAATTAAATTAAACAATTGATTTTGCTACACACTTTTGCCTGCAAATAAAATACACATAAAATGTGCAATAAAATAAGATCATATTTCTAAAATAATATCAAATAAAAAAAATTGAAAGTTAAATACAACAGTAGTTTGAATTTTAAAGAATCTCTATTTGTGAATTTTAAGATATTATTTCTGTTCTTAAAAAGCAAACTGTTTATGAATGATTATGTCCCGTGTAGAAAATATATTCAAAGAGACAACTAATGTAGCACATGTCGATTGTTCTCCCACGCAAAATTTCTTTAAACTGTAATCGCTCATTACAATAATTGTCGCCGAGGGGCATCGGTTTCTTTCTTTTATCCCCATTCAAGGCGACGATGATGTTATCTATCGCCACTCCCTCAATGATTTAATGCAAAATCGCGGGATTTTCTTTTATAATAGGTATCAACATGATACAAATCATTTATAAATGCAGTTTTTATCTGATTCTTGGGAATCAAATAAAAAAGTTTAATATCATCGAATAAATAATTATTTTTATACACGTTGCCGCGCATCTATCTTTTCTAGCATTATAACTCATCATAAACAAGGATCAGCGTTAATGTCGCGCTAAATTTCCAAACCTAACGATTATCAAACGGAATGCGCAGTGCGCAATGCCTTGCAGCCCGCCTTCTACGGACGCCGCTATCCTTGACGATGCTCTAAACGGAATTAGAACCTTAAACTGCAGAAGCCGAGGATCTCTTCGCCATGGAAGCTCTTCCGCGCGTGAGCAGGCGACACAATGGTAATCGCCACCTACGTTATTATGCATTATGTTGCGGGAGAGGTGTTCGGGGACGATATAGCGTCTCCCGCTTTGCCGCGCCGCGTTTTCTCCGACGCCTACCCACCTACGTGGCGGAGTAAAAACGTGTAAGTTACACGGGAGTAATCCGCGTCGCGGTATGCGCGCATACCCACGTATATTACGTGCCACATCGTCGTCGTCGAATGCGGCTGCGAACCGTCATCGCCGCCGGCTGCTTGGCGAACGAACCCGGTTGCCAGAAGTGTGACGTAACGAAGAGAGACGTTACGTTCCGCAGCGGGCCCTGGTGCACGTTCTCTCCTCGACGGGGTAGGGGCCCCGTTCGCGACTCACCCGGCGTAGCTCCATCCTCCCGGAAAGCATCTTCTCCGCGCGCGGACCTCCTCTTCTCATGCCCGAACGTTCGCCGCGCTGCTGCAGTCGCGTTCGCGAGCCCCATCGCGCAGGTAACGCGAGAGTGTGAACCGAATTCCGAGCAGCCGAGTGAATCCGTAGAAGAGATCGCACCCCGTAAGACCCGACGTGGAACATGGAGTCTGTGAGACGATACCTCGTCCTAATCTCGGGTACGTGTACGCGGACTCGAGTTTCATTGCCGAAGTGGATCAAATATCAAAATCGCGAGAATACGGAATTTCTGATTTTTCGGTATTCTTGTGCCAGCAATATTTGTGGAGATAAAATTGAAGGCTGACTCGTAAAAATTTATTTTCCCTCGCCACAATGGCTAAAAATTTTATTTTTGCTTCCCGAAATAATTTTTTATTCCTAAAAGCTATTTAAAATTTGTCTTATAATATTTTGGAATGTTTTTTTTTCTAACGGAGAATGATAAAAATGCGGATTGCGCATGTAAAAACCAATCATCTTCGTCCAATACTTATTACTTTCAGAACTAAGATTTAATTTTTCTTTTTTCTACTTGCTAGTAAAATAAAACTGAGAATTTCAACTGCAAATAAATTTGCGATTCATCGTAGCGCCGAACATTTAAATATTTGGCATGCTTTGAAAAATTTCACACGTTCAATAATAGTTTAAGCGATTTCTCATTTAAAACACGTTCGTAGAAACTGATGGTGCACTTTCGATCGAAACAATCCCCGTGCGTGCGGTTACGCGTGCATGAATATCCACACTCTTTTATGCATACAGATACCCCCTGAAATAGAAAGGTGCATCGACATCCGCCAAGACTATCGCTACTGGATCTTCATTCATGATCCGTGAAAAAGCCTTACGTCTTTAAACAGCTCGTGTCTTTGCAACTGAACGCGAGGATCGATGAATCGACCGATGCAATCTAATGAGAAATGTTTTGCGGTCATGAAAATGCATCCACTGTTAGAACAAAATGAGGGAAATCGCGAATCGTATCAATGCGAGAGAATTACGTATTTCCTTTGGTGTACTTGTGATTTTTTTAATTCCCAATAAGCTATCAATTTTGTGAACAATATATTATTTTATATATTTTTAAATATTTCTATATTTGGGTATTGCGGTACAATTAAAAATTTACCCTTAAATTATAAGCATTTTAATTTTCAATTAACAAATATTTTAAACGAAGGATTTTTCTATACGAAAATATAGAAAAGCAGACAAAAAATATTATTATAGATGGTAACGTTACGTGTCTTGAATATTTAATGTTTAGAAAATTAGTATAAAATATAAAAAATATTTCAACATTGACGATAACAAAGATCTTTACGAGATTTTCGGTTTCGCTATTTTAGTGGGAATACTGTGGAGTTGCGTGCTATGTCTGCAACGACCACCACCGAGATATTCTCAGCAGTATATGCCGGAAACCTCGTTCAGTTGTCGCAACAAGATTGTCGGTAGCTATTACGCGGACCCTGAGACCGACTGCCAAGTCTTCCACGTTTGTGTTTCTGTAGCTGGCACTATTCAGGACTACAAGTGAGTGTCTACCGCATTAAAAAATCTGCATACTGGTATAAATAAATTTTTCTCAACTTTTTTTTCCAGAGACATTCGTATGGAAGAAAAAAATATTATTCGTTAATATAATCCAATTCTAACGATTGTGTGTTTATCTTTAACTTAGATTCCTGTGTCCCAACGATACTGCCTTCGATCAGGAGAGTCAAACGTGCGCGGACTGGTACGACGTGGATTGCGAGGCCGCGACCCTCTACTACGCCAGCGACAACTTCGACCTGTACAGAATCGGTTCCGGTCTGGAGTCCGTGGCCTACGACAGCCTGCGCAGCGATGCCGAGCCGCAGGATCACCTGCAGCGCAGTGAGACCAGCGACGCGGTCCGATCGTCCGCGAACACGGTGAACCGCGTGTCCTCGTCTAATTACAACAACAATAATCGCGATATACTGCGTGGTAGCAGCAGCGGCAACTTGTACAATCGGAACAACAAAGAAGACGATTACGAGACCGAGAAGTCGTACAAGGAGGACGTGAGTCAAGACGCGAAGAGGAAGGGCGGCGTGAGGAAGGTCAGCAGGAAGCAACCGTACACCGGCAACGGCAGTGCCAACTACTCGCCGTCGACCACCAGTACGTCGGCACCGGCCGTGGTCAGTCAGAACAACTACAACGGCAATTATTACAATACATACAACAACAACCAACGATCCACGGCGTACGTTTCGTCGACAACCGCACGGCCTCAGGAGAACTACAGCAAGAACGTAAACACGCAGAGATATAACACAGCACCGTCCACATACCGACCTAGCACAACGTACCAGAATACGTACAACAACTATCAATCGCCTAGCAGCACGACCGCGAAAACGACGCAGTACAACACGAACGTGTATAACAGTGCCTACAATACAAACAACTACAATCAACAGAACACCGGCAACTCGGCTCCGATCACGACGCTGCGACCGAGCAGCTACAGTCCGAAGACCAGCTATCAGGCTTATCAGGGTCAGTTCGCGCAGTCCACCACCGTGCAGCCGAGCACGAATTACCAGAGTAGCGATTACACCAATCATCAGCAGAGAAGCTACAACAACATCCAGCGAGGCTCCAGCAGCGTCGCCTATCAATCCACCACACCCGCGTCCACCGCCTACGATAATAATAATTATAATAACAACAATAATAATTACAATAGCAACTATAATAATTACAATAATAATTACAATAACAACAACGGCCAGTACAGACCAGCCACTTCCACTAGGCAGGACGTGTCTCAGACCACGGCCAAGTATTTCGCCAGCAATTTCGCGAGCAACAGTTACGCGCCGACCACCTACAGCCCGGCGACAAAGAAGTACGCAAACGGCGACAACACCGTCGCGCAGACCGCCCTGAGGAACAACGACAATGCCGGTCAATACTATGACAAAAGTTCGAGCCAGGCGATCAAGCCGTCCACTCAATACTACGATACCACGAGACCACCCAAAAAAGCTACACAGTATAATAATTACGACAACGCAAGCAGCGGCAAATCGTACTATATTGAAAGCAGCACAAACAGCTATGACCTCGGCAGATCCTCCGTCGGGATTGGCTTCAGTCCCGCCAGCATCAACCACCTCGCCGAGTCGCCGAGAACCACGCCGGTACCAAGGTAGATCTCCCGATAGACCGAATTTAGATTCAGCCAAACAGAACACGAGATATTATTTAAATTAAGAACCTACGATATTAAAACACGTGATAACAAAATTTGCAAAAAATTTAAATAAAAAATTAAGTAAAATATACAAAAATATTGTAGAAAACTAAAATAAAATATAAAATGTAGCCTAAAAATTACGTAGAAGAAAAAAAATTGTATTATACTACAGTTCTTCGACAGCTTATACGGTATTTTTTGTTACATTTCAAGCTAAATTTTCTACCTTGATAATTTTACACATTGCCCTAAACGAGAGAAGATCGCTCATAATTGTTTTCTCGTTGCAGACGATCTTCCAGCGCTACCACCTACAATCCGAACACCTTCAGTTCTAACGTTCAGAAAACAGTCCAGCCGACGACGACGCCACGTGGAGTCACCTATGTCAGCGGATCTGCGCGACCATTCACATCGACAACCAGATTACCCAGCAGTAGCAGCAGCACCAGCAACACAACAGCGCGACCAAAATCGGGCAAAAAGAACGACTATGATTACGCGTATTACGACAGCACAGGCGCCCTGGAATATGACGGGGTTGACCTCGAACATGTAACTAGCAACAAGGAGTCCACGAAAATAGCAAGGAATTAAAGTATTTTCGTAATTATATACTGCATTGAATATCTTAGAGCTCATCGACACTATAGTGATGTAAAATACTGTGAGTGCCTTTCTTTAGCCAGGTATACATTTCAATATCTATATATTTGTACCTAGATACTTTCTGCAGAATATTTATGTATAACACCTCGTAACATCAGATATAAGTTATTAAAATTTTTCAAAACGCTTGTTTCTATATATTTTAAATTGTCTCTTTATACTTATTAATACAACAATTATTAATTATGCAAAACATCTAATTAACTACGATTAGGATTTTTTTTAATTACCTATATCTAGGTACTATAAGAATAAAGTATCTTTTACATCATTGGTCGATAGGAGAATTACGATGACTTTGTAAATCATCATTAACTAATGGCCAGTCATTATCAAAATCGGTCTTCGATTACGGATATTCGCGCGTAGGGTATAAATATTGAATACCGATTTTGAGAAAAAACTCCATCAATTGATATTGATCCGCTTAAATGCGTATATGTTCATTCGAGATTTAACAGCTTTTCCGGCGTTATTAATTAGATGGTCAGTATTTTAGAGTAATTGTTACATACTTTACGATACTTAATCCGTGCAATAAATGTTAATATAACGATATTACGATGGAATGTTCTGAATAATATTAGCGTAAAAGACAAATTTCGTAATTCGGTTAATTTTTTTTCCTTTTAATTTATTACAAAAGGAAAAATGTCAAGATAGTCAAACTAACACTTATTGTATTGGTATAATAGTGCAAAGTTTGATAAATCGTTAAAATTGTCATTCATTTTGTACACATATGTATGTGCGTATTGTGACAAAAGCTCACATAAAACGTGTTCAGATTTAAGATTTTTTATTATTTGCGTCCTAAAATATGCGTACTGAATGTATATATTGTAACTATTTTACTTAAAAAAAGCATTAAAAAGCATGCTTCATTATTTTATCCTTTCTCAACGATAATATTTCTTGTAATATGGATAGTAAAATTCATATATTCAACATATTAGTCCCCAAACACAAAAATTCATTTATGAGATGAAAAATGTTGTTGACATCATTATTATTATATAATTTTCAATAATGCAGTGTACGGCATTTGCGCGCGCGGCGCACAAGTTTAAAAGATTCATATCTTCATATAAACATATTGATACAAAAATATGTCGATAATATGCTTAATGTAAAATATGCGCGCAATTATATGCAGAATTTTCGAAAAGCTCTTTCGTAAATAGGGCAATATTTTTTATAAAGACACAATGATTACATAAAACCATCTTAAAAGAAATCATCTTACAAGAAAATTATTGTTGTACTTACCATACCGCATATATTGAAATTATTATCACTGGCAAATCGATCATCAGGTTCATCATCAACAATCCATCGATGAAACCACCATTGTCGGTGAATAGTCCATCCGCCGATAAATCCGTCGTCAGCAACAATCCATCGGCGACTCCAACGTCGATGATAATCCATTGCTGAATGATTCGTCGATAATAATCGGTCAATGAATGAATTCCTCACTCCCGTTAATCCATCTGAAAATTTAACAATCTTTAGTTTAATCATGTATACAATGCTTTTTCAAAAAAAAAGATAATAAACAAATAAGTTTGACAAGAAATTGCAGCTATTAACGAACATACATACTATGGCAAAAAATAATCTTACACATGCGAAGACGATTTCAATCGATCAAGATGTATAGAAATGAATTGCAATTATATATTTTTTTATTGTGCTTCCTGAATTAACAAAAATTCTACTATAATTTAATTAAGGAAAAAACAAAACAAAGAGAAAATAAATACAGAGAATACAATTAAAATACATAAGCAAAGTTATTGTTCAATAAAGCAAAGAAATCTTTCAAATATTTCAATAAATTTATAAATAATTTATATTATTCATATTATAGATCTAATTAATACAGTTAATCATAAAACAAGAGATATTCACACTTACCTGGCGATCATGCATCGCGTCTTTGATATACCTCTGCGAAAATATAACCTGCAAAACGCCGAAATGATTCGATCGACTGTCTGAAAACACAAAAACAGATTTTCAGTATCGGGAACAAAACAATACTTACTATTGACGATATTTAATACCTTCCTACAACTGTTCGACACTTTGCGAGAGACATTCACGATAACTTTTACATACGAAATTCTTTACAAAATAATCGCGAGAAATACTGAACAATTTGAATATAACTTCGCGCGCGTTCCGTACCGGATTTCGAGAATATCTGAAAGCAATATTGCCAATCTCAAAATAGCAAAATAATAAATTTACTGTATATTTTATCTTGTAATTTCATCTTTTTTTATTACGCTGTCTAAATTTAACATCAAATTTTTTCATATTTAATTAAGAAAAAAGAAAGCAAAGAGAAAATAAATACAGAGATGCAATTAAAAACACACAAGTAAAGTTATTATTCAATAAAGCAAAGAAATATTTCAAATATTTCAATAAATATTAGAAATAATTAATTATTATTAGTTCTAATTAATACAGTTCATCATAAAACAAGAAATATTCACTTACATGGCGATAATTATGCATCAATCGCGTCTTTGATATACTTTTGCAAAAATATAACCTGCGAAACGTCGAAATAATTTCCACTGACTGTCTGAAAATACAAAAACAAATTGTCAGTATCAAAAAAAAAACAATACTTACTATTCACGATATTTAATATGTCACTACACCATTCTATACTTTGCGAGAGACATTCAGGATGAACGCACGAAGACAAAATAATCGCAAAAATTTTGAACAGTTGAATATAACTTTGTGTTTCTCACTCTACGATTGGAGATCTAACGAAAAGCAATATTGCCAATTTAAAAATACCAAAATGATGAATTGACTACATATATTTCACACTTTAATTAGATCTATTTGTTTTAGTTGCATTTCCTATATTTTACATAAAATTCCTACATATTTAATCTTTAAAAAAACCTAAAACAAATAAATATACAGAATGTAATTAAAATACAGAGCTATTATTCAATAATACAAGAAAGTTTTTTAAATATTCTAATAAAAGTTAGTAATAATATATTATTACAAACATAATTAACGCAATTAATGATAAAGCAATAGATATTTATGTAGCTAGCGATAATTATGCGTCAATTGTGCTTTCAAAGTATTTTTGCAAAAAAATAATCTATACACGCGATTCGATCAATTATCAGAATATATAAAAATATATCTCCAATAACACAATGACAGTTATTGCTTGTAATATTTAACGCATTACAATAAATAAATATGTTATGAAAGCCATTTGCAAAATTTATTTTATCCACAAAATTCTTTTAACAATTCTTGAAACAAATTCTAATTCTTTAAACAAATAATTACGAGACTTACGAAACGATTTGAACATTCTATGTCCGCCGCACTTCCAGAAAAGGATGCTTCAAGATCTACCAAAAAGTAATATATAGCTAATCCCAAAATATAGAAATGATAAAACATATAGAAATCGCAATACTATTAATTTAAAAACAAAGTAAGTTCTGAAATGTATCGACACTGACATGCCGATAGCCAATAGAAAATGTGTTTTCTAAGAATTTTGTCCAACGCCATTTCTTTCAGAAGTTAAATTCTATTGGATATCGGATTTTGTACGTACATAGCCGATGCATTGTAAATCACCCATAAAGTCAGCTAGCTATCGTCTGCTATTCCACAGAGACTCTGTGACAGAGTCAATTACTTCAAATCTTTCATGCTTACTTTAGAAGAATTCGGAATTCAGATGTTTCAATTCTTCGTTTACCACATATAAGTTAGATTTATTATTTTACGTGCCTACTTACGTTATGTAATAATTTACATTTTAATCGTGAGGTGCAAAATAAAGGAAAATCAAATTGTTGAAATTAAGATTTTGATTGTATTTATTACAAGTAAGTCAGAGTAAACTTAATAAAAATTTTCAACAATTCTGACAGAAACTATAAAAGATACTCTGTCACTCTATAGATATAATCTTTACACAAAATCATGATATTTTATGTAAAGTAGTATATATAGGTTATTGCATAATCTTCATTAAATTTAAAGGTTATTAGGCAAAAATTTAACCTTTCAATGTCATTTCCAGTGAGCTGATTTATTCTAAGTGTCACCATCATTTTAATTGCTCTTTTATACACTGCGTATTTTTATTAAAATTGTATATTTTTATTATAGAAACAAGGGCTGTCAAAATGGGTAATGCTCTTACCACAGCATCTCTGTCGGCTGCTGATGTGATAGTATCTATATCTCAACAAATTGCTAAGCCAGAATCGCATAGGATAAAGGAATATAAAGGTGAACCACCGCCTGAATGTCCAATGCATAAATCAGGCCAATTAAACACTATAAACTATGCCAGTGAATGTCCAATAGACAAAATGGATGAAAGTGATATAAATCCATTAAATATGGTATGAAACATTTACTTTTCGAATTGAGAATAGGATTGTAATTATCTTGTTTAAACATTATTTTTATTTAAATTAACAAATGTAATTTTATAGATGCCACCGGGTAATCAGCAACCTGCACCTGATCAGCCATTTCCTTTGCCTACCGACAGACAGGTTTCATCAATACCTAAAGTAACTGACCAGGAGGGAGAATTTTGGGTGTATCCCTCCCAGCAGATGTTTTGGAACGCTATGTTAAGAAAGGGATGGCGATGGAAAAACGAAGATATTTCCCAGAAAGATATGGATGATATAATAAAAATTCATAATGCCAACAATGAACAGGCATGGCAAGAAGTTCTTAAATGGGAAGCTCTTCATGCGCGAGAATGTGGCAGCCCCAAACTGCGTAGTTTCGGTGGAAAAGCATCCAAGTATTCCCCACGTGCGCGAATTCGCTATTGGATGGGGTACGTTGCTCTCTCATAATCCGGACTATAAATTCCAAATTGCTGTATAATCTTTACAGTGTTATATGTAATGTATTGTTCTTTCAGATATGAATTGCCGTTTGATCGGCACGATTGGATTATAGATCGCTGCGGTAAGAATGTAAGGTACATTATCGATTATTACGACGGCGGCAAAGTTGACGACAAGTATACATTTGCATTACTTGATGTGAGACCTGCGATGGATTCGTGGGAAAATATCTGGGATCGGATGAAAGTGGCCTGGTGGCGTTTCAAATATCAATCTAACGATGAATCGGTATCTACTGCCACGGCCCATTAATCTATAAATTAGTGCTAATATAAGATATATTAACATGAAAAACTTTTATTAAAATGATAATTAATGCCTTAATCATTGTGCATAATGTATTGCTTATTATGCATAAGAAATGGTTGTATAAAAACTTGTAAAATATCATAAATATAAATTAATTTATGATATTTAGTTTGCAAAAAATTTGCAAAATATCATCAAAAGTGGATAAGAAAATTCGTACATAAATAAATTTTATACATATTTCAGATATGTACAAATACCTCATTTGTTTATTCACAAATTAAAATTAATTAAGATTGATGTATAGCATCAAGCAATTACCAAAATAATTTCATAAAAAACTAAAAAACTTAATTGCAACTTTCTATTGGACTAAAAATTGTGTTTAAATTATACATTGTATCAATTGGATTTTTATAGAAAAAACTGCCAATACATCAAATGCTATTTAAAAATATAAAAACTGTGCATATATTTACATCAGTTTTAATCTCAGATCACAATATAACTTTTCATTCTTCTAATTTTATATTTATGATTGCATTATTTCAAACTTGATAATTGTTTTTTCCTCAATAAAATCAGTATATCATTAAGAATGTATACATTGTAACAAAATATATTATGAAAAATGTATTATACTGTTCTTGTTATGAACTAGCTTCAGCTATAAACTAATCTATTAAAATGTTCAAATAAACTTATTGAAAAGCATTAAACAATTATTTTTGCTATTCATTAAGAATTAATTACATGTAATTATGACACAGGACAATTAAACAAATAATGGCCTCTATCATACACTGTACATCATTTTATTGTCAATATATAATGCTATTTGCTTTTTTTGTTTCACAACATTACAGATTCCAACAGTTCAAAATATTTAGTGACTTTGTACATCTTACAGGATAAAATTTACATAATTTTCGATTAATTAAAAACCGATCAGTTAATTATAAAAAAAATAATACCTGCATCGTGAAAAGTTCAGCTAAAGCTAAACAAGCAATATATTTCAGAATAAAGATAAGATATGAATAAGAAAAAAATATATGTATATTATTTTTCATGATAAAACATAATTGACTTTCCAAAATCTTATGTTTCTAACGCATATATAAGACCTCTTGGATCTTATCGAGCCATATTTTGTCTACAAAGTGTTTCATACTATTTACACTTTGATACAAGTAAAATATCCTCTTAATATATACATATACATATTACAAGTGATGTCATTCTGTAAGTATAACATACAATCGGATTACAGCAGATATTACTGAATTTCCGAATAAACATTGAATGTTGATTATTATAATTATTATAACATTGAATGTTGGTTATTATAATTATTATAATTAATTTTCTTTTTACAAATCGTTCGTATTAAAGGCAGTTATTAGGAGTGATATTTCTCATTAATTTAAATTAATTAATAAGCACCAATCTCTTAATAAAACATTCAACAATTACAGAAAAATATAGATTATATACTTTTTATAAAAATCTAATCAGCAGATTATCTCTTAACTCACTCATTGCTGTTTCTTTGTATGTATATCATTGATTTTTCAACAATTTAAAAATTTTATAAATTATGATTTGATATTACATAATTCAAATGCATTTTATGCCTAAAAATATGTATACTTCAAGACTTTTATCAATATTATAAAGTATTATGAATGCGATCGATATGAATACTGCAACATCTCTTACTTTAAATATAATTTTAAATACAAATAAACGTACAATTCACTTTTTTGCTTACTGTTTTAATATGTTAATGAGAAGCAGATTACAAACTGTACTAATATTGACAATTTTAATAGTATCTACTTTCTTGAACTGAACACTGTTGGTTTTATAACTCATTACTTGTTTAGAATTTAATAAATATATCGAAGTTTAATATCGAATATATTATGTATATGCGTACCATTTTATAATAATTAAAAATTTCTAAATATCTTTCATTAAATTCTGACGGTTTAGAAAATAGAATGTTGCATTCTTCGTTGGCACATTAAATAACAAAGTGATGTAACATTGTGATGTAACAAATTATCATCATGTTTCTCTTTGTCCTTCATATACTTTAAATCAAGCAATATACATTGATAAATTGCATATAATAGAAGCAATAAAATTCTACTTACAATAAAATACAAAATAATAAATATATCTAAACACCACAAATTTAAGTTCATTGGAATATATGCCTGCAAGATGAAAATACATAGAACGTCTCACTTCCAAACAAAACATCTTATATAACAATAGATGATAACATTGATTCAATGCAGAAAAGCATTGATTAATGTGTAGGGGAAGCGACTGAGATATACTGACAGTTATATGTCAATTGAATTTTCCACATATTTATATATCTATATATATGCTTAGTGTATGTGTTTTATGTGCAATATATATACATATATGTGTGTATTTGATACATATGTGCAATATATATATCAAATATACATTTTTTAAATTTAATATTTATTATACATCTACAAAGTCATAAAACTATATTTATTTATAATGATTTTGATCTAATGTTATACTTGTTTTTTTGATTTTTATAATATTAAATTTTAAGACATAGCTATCTTTAGTTTAAAATCCATCTGGACTACATCTTTATGATATCAATTTCGAGCCTTTATGTCTCTGTCATTGTTACGATGTCATTCGCAAAAATTTCATGCTGTCCAATTTGATTATGTGGTAAAAATTGGAAACAATTGTTAGACCCACAAAAACAAGGAGTATCGCTGAGACAATGGACGGAATTAGCCATGGCACCACCAGCATAATCAAAAGTCACTTCCTCTCCATTCTCTATATCTCTAGACGCAAACAAGCATAATCGAGGCACAATTCCCTCTACTCTGACTGGAACGAGGCTAGAATTCGGATCGCAACTATGATTAGCATATCGTCCAATATTACCAAAATATTTCGGATCTATACAAGTTACAATAATACGATTATTACCAATATGTTCCGAGACTACGAGAACATAATTCATCGTATTGTACCGCTTATTCGCTTCGATCCTATGTCGCGCTTCTTGCAAACCTATCACTTCACCGGCGTACTCACAAATAAATTGACCCTTCTTTATTAATTTAGTCGTGAAAAGACCGAGACCTTTGCCAGCGATATCTCTAATAATTAAACAATTCAACGGACCATTCTGTATTAATCTATTTCCACAATTTGGTCCACATGTGCAATGAGCATTGCATTCGAATATCGGACCAGCTAATTTTTCATCGACAATTCGAGCATTAGAATAATTAGCAGAACCGCGTGTACACGAACAATTGTAACATTCGACCAGGCAGGGACAACCTACAGAGTATTCGGCCTCAAAGTCCGCTGTATCTATGCCAGGCCCCGGTATATTATTCATTACATACATAACATCCGCTGCGGTATGTTCGTACTCGTCGGTAGAAGCAGTTGCTTCCATGCTTACCGCGATCGTGTGTCAACGAAAAAGCCCAAAGAAGTCCCAGAAACTCTTTGGGACAAAGGCAGCACAAGGTAAAGAGAAAAAGTTGCTTTATAATATAAAGGGGTTCCTCTTAGAATGCTGTGTAAATGGAATTCGAATAACTCTATCGCGCAGCACCAACCTGTAGAAGCCCCTCGACCGATGACTTGATAGAATGAAACGCGATAGTAGCAGGTACCGCTACAACTTTGTAGCCTACGTAAATTACAGCACCGAGTATAGATGCCTTAACGGTAAATTTTAAGATTTTACCGGACAACGACGGTGGTGGCACTCTGTAAGAAAAATTTTTTTTAATAAATCGAGATACAATGATAAATTTAGTATATATATTTAACATACAGATTGTTTCTAAAAAAAGTTTCAGTCAAATTTTACTAATTTTAACAAATTTCGCCAATAAAAAAATTATCGTGCAATCTCTACAAATATAAATAAACTCATAAATGCTTTCATTTTAGAAACATTCTATATAATAACTGTGATATTAATTGGTTATCGATATTCATGCATACCTCATGATAGGAGGTATATCACCGGGCTTGACTTTACCCCAATTTTCAACGATACCAGATACATGTCCTAAACCGACAATTCCTACGACTCTCGGTTCGACGAGCAGACGATTCGCAGGACCACACGGTAAGCAGGCCAATTGTAAAGAATTGGTTAAATAAATATCTCTCTCTTTAACAAATACTTCTCCCAATACTGGAAACTCCTCTTTCATGCTAGCGATCATCTCGTCCAGCATCGATCGTTGTTTGCACAGTTCGACATCCTCTTGAGTAATAGGATCATTCATCATTGACAGATGCCATCCTAGTTTTATAGTTTGCCACCAAGATAACGATCGTATCGCGCGTTGTATTGTTATATTGATTGGTCGATCAGCCAAATGCACGATGCAATTTGGCACTTTTTTCACCTAAAACAATTACGTGTAAATGAAATAGGCCACAAATAATATTGTTTCTATTATGTGCACACAAACCTCTTCAAATGCTCTTCGAAATTCGCCACCGGGTGGCATTCCGAGTTGCGACGCAACGCGAGCTGCCATTCTCAACAACAAGATGTGTAACAAACCATTGTAAAGTCCTTCCTTCTTAATGGTATCCATAATAGTTTCTATGATAATAATAGATTGTATAGTATGTGGCCAATATACTATATGCAAAATGATATAATAATATATACAGAAACCCACTATAATCGATGTTCTTGGCATAACGATACATAACTTCTTCATCGAGTTGCATTATACCAATTCTAGCTCTGCATAATTCAACTACAACGACATGAGGCTGTACAGCTTGTATAATCTGCAATAAAAAAATATCTTGAATAAAGTAACTACGTTATTAAATTGTTTCAATAAATTATTCGTAAAATTACAATTTTATTTAAAAAAGAAAAATGCGTATATAAAATAATTACTTTTGATACATCATTTTGACTTTCAACGCTGAAATGCGCTGTTCCTACTAGGTATAATTTTCCTCCTTCTGGTGCGGTCAACAATGTCACAGTTTCTGGTAATCTTTGATCGATAGTGGGATCATATTCCCTTATTATTGGTTCATTTACTGCATTGTCGATATTATGGTCCTTATTTTGGATATTAGACTCTACATCAGATCCAATATTTTCTTTATAAAGTATGTGACTGACATATGCATATACAACTACCCAAGTTAAATTAGAGTTAAAAATAATAGCAATACCTTGAAATTTTAAAACTTTTCTCTTACTTCTGTATTGTAGTGGCATTTTTTTAAAGCACTAATGTACTACTCTGACAATAGTTTCTCATATAACAGTAGCATTGACTAACGTCATTATTAAATTAAAATAATCTATAATTGTGAAACCTTAAAACTTCCTGAGAACCTTAGCTACTTCAAAACACTATTCACAACTAATAACACTACTAACAATTGTACTTCTTACAAGAGCCATTAAATCAACAAATATGTTTACATAAATTTTTTCTTTGTATATGTGCAAATCTTTAACATAAGGTACGTAATGTATGTAACAACATTTCTCACCTTTATCCATAACTTCTTCCTCTGAAGACTCTCCACTTTCCATACTGACATCATGATTATTCTCTGTACTCATTATTGTTGACAATGTACCTGAAGATGATTCATAACCTGATGTTTCATTACACCTAGATTCGTTGGTAATTAATTCCTTTGTAGTATCCTGTATATTTGGTTTAGTGGATGAATCATAGTCGCCTTTTTCATCAATTAAATCATAATGTACATCTTTTATGGACGATAACAAGTTTCTCTCCTGTTGATCACACTGAATATATTGATCAACTTTACTAGAATTGGTAGCCATTTCTTCTCCTGAAAATCCATACAATTCAATACATTTTCAAAAAATATGCCTATAATTTTTAAATTAATTAATACAAAATTACATAACTAAATACTAAATACTAATAAAACAGCAATATTGCATAATCGATTAAAATATAAAAATAATGCATACTTAAATTACTTGTCTGTATTCCATATGTGATATTTGTATAATATGATATATGTAAAATTGCATGATTTTATATATGTAAAATAAAAGATTTTCAAATTTTTTAAAAACCAAATCCTATTATTATTATTATTATTATATGCTATTTTTATTTTAAGCAATTAATGCTTCACCCTTAACTACACTGGCGGAGTACGAACGTACACAATTATGCAAATATTTTTTGCGTGGCACAAGTGACATTGCCGCGCCTCTATGTATCCTCAAAAACATCAACTTTTAAAATTTCAATTAAAACTCATCAAAATTTGGAATACAAAACTACCCCGCGGGTGTAGTTGAGTAGGCCAGATTTGGTCAGTGTAGTTGAAGGTTATTACAATTCTCATGCGTTATTCTAATGCATTTCTAACCTTGTAAAAAATTTTGACACAATTACAAAAATGAGATCTGTATATTGTAACAAAAAATATACAATTTAGTTTCTATAAAGTTATTTATGTTTATTTGTCATTTGAAGGACTTACACAACGAATAAGAATTCAAAGAAAAATCTAACGTATGAAGAAATGCACACATCGAGACAAATATCAAATGGATCTACCCTCTGGGTCTACTTGTAAAATGCAACAGTCATGGAAATAATAAGCATTCTAGAAATGCACACTTAATATGCACATTAGGGCTGTCCGCAAAAAACAAATATAAGTCTGTTCTTTATAGCTCCATTTTCTGTACAAATTCCATATTTATTACTAAAAGTGTTTAATTTCATCGTAATATTTATTTAAAAGAATAAATTTTTTTTATTAGTTTGTAATTTTCTTACAACATTCTTGAAATTGCATTATGTTACATTTTCTATACTTAAAATGAAGTAAACGAATAATTCAGCGTTAGTGAGAAAAAGAGAAGAGAGAAGAGGTACAAAAAGTGCAGCTGTAAACCCTAAAGCTGGTATATATGTATCATTCTTGATATACGTAAACGTCTCGTCGTTAAATTATTAATTTTTGTTTAAATTATTGTAATATTACGTAACAATTTAGACTCACTGATTGTTATAATCAATAAAGCGATCCACGTGCGGTGCCTCATGTTATCGCAAAATGATTCAGTTGGGAGCAGTGCTTAACGTACTTCGCAGTTGTAGTAGTTCGCGGTTTTAAAATGCTCACACGAGTGGCAAAATGAATAAGAAACAATACTAATTTCATAATACGATTCCAAATTGCGCTGTCACTGTGTTCTTTCAATAAATCACTCTTTATCACGCGTGCAATTTAATCTCTCATGCACAATCTCTTGGACGATCATATAGAAAAACTGTGAGATTTGGCGCCAGTATAACCTCATCTTCAAGCCGCGAGAACGACTTTTAAATGCGACTTTCACTGATGATATTTCGGTAGCTCGCATGAGAAATGAAGGAGCTAGAAGAAGTCAACTGCGAGGTAATTGAAATTTAATTGGCATTATTGTCAACATAACTTCTTATTATAGTTCCTGACTTTCTTGGTTATCATTTTTTATCACAATTTATGAAAGTGGATTTTATTCGAATAAATTGCGAAAATAACTTTATTCAATGTATATAATTTCCGTTCTCAATCATTTTCTTGACAATTTGTTTCCTCATGTGCAGATTCGCAGGATCATTAACCTTCAATTTCCCATGTTAAACCGGTTGAGGAATTTAGAGACAGAGGAACATGGTCAGTCTGCAATCTCACAAGAACATGACAACGTTACTGATTGCCGCGGAGGATTCTTGCACAATGCAACATATGCATGGCTGAGTTACGGATGCCATTTAGTAGTCTTTAATGTGAAAATAGGAGAGAGCGTTAGCAGTTGGACATTTCGCGGTATTGTAACGTCTGTTTCTCAATTACCGGCGCAATCTGGAGAATTTCCTTTGCTCCTTGTTGGAATAGATAATTATGCAAGCAGATTGAAGGATTCCTCCGGGTTATTATGCATATTTGATTGTACTGCATCTCGTGTCTTAAGGGCAATTCGTGTAAGTATTATTTTAAGCATTATTTGAAAATTATCATTAACAAAATATCACTAGAGATTAATTTTTTTTATACTATGTTTTACAGATACCATGCGGCGTAGAACAAGTATGTGTTGTAACAGGCGGCGCGGAATGGGAAGAATTCAATGATAAACGACCGGACAACATATTGAATGAAATGGATGGTATAGCGTGTGTAGTTTTACGTAATCTTCAGCATATCATGATTGATCTTCGAAGATCTACATGGGACATACATAATTTATCCACTGTTATGGATGAATTGTCACCCGCAGAGATAGATCTGTCGACGAAACAAGTTGTTGGCAGACATCAATCCAATAAAGAAAGACATGCAGCTTACAACCTGCTAAACAGTCGTAAGTATTTATCATATTGATATTAACGAACTAAATATAATTACTGTACCTATATTAATGTATTATTCTATAATATTAATTATATTTCAAAATCTTAGGTATAGAAAAGCATATTGGCTTCAACCGAGAAAATTTCGAATCGTCTCCTTTACTCAGCGAAAATTTGACCACTGCAATCATTAGTTCCATGAAAATTGGCTGTTTAATTTCCGGCTGTTTGGGCAGAGTGATAATTTGGCAGAACGATGGTTCTATAGGATGGATCAGTGCGCCTATAGACGACATGGTAGTTACACATCTAGCCCTACTGGAACCCACGGATGATCCCAGACCATTTTATTACCTATGGGTCGTATTCCAAGATGAATCATCGAAAGCGCCACCGATATTACGAATGTACGCCATGCTATTTGAAAGAAAATACTGCGATAGAGGAATGAACTTGTACTTCAATCTGGAAGCCGATCCCAGTCTGAAGTTTGAGTCCGAATTGAACGAGGGGGACAAAGTCGTCAGTTTGTGCACTGTCGAAAGAGAATCCAATCCAGAGCAAACCGAGTCGGGCGCTAGGAGAGGCGAGGATAATCTACTGCTTATCGGCACCAACGAAAGGATATTGCTGTTCGATCTAAATCAGTGGTACAAGGAACAGATGCCGCACACCATCGGCGAGTGTCAAAATCCGAACAGCATATTGGCGACGTATCGTACGCGGTCGGACGCGGATGATCAGATCGTAAGCTTCGCGTACGTCCCGTTGAGCTTGCAAGAATTTCCTAGCAACGGTCCGAGCTCTCCCGAGGAACTCTTCTACCCAAACTCTTTGTCGCTCGAATGGATAGAGCTGAGCACGACGAAACTCACATTCTGGATGACTCGCGGTATTCAGGCGGATCTGCTGCGCGAAATAGCTTTGGCGGGACCGATTATACTGATACAGCCATCCGAAACGTTTCACAAGTGTCTCTCCGTGGGGCTGGTGCCGTTTAATTCGGAATTCTCGTTCACCAGCGACCAGAACGCGCAGCGAGAGATGCTGCTATCGCTCTGCTTGGAGCAACGGTGGTCAACTTTTTTGGTGAAATGCGCCGTGGAGTGGTCGGACGGTAGTGCCTCATACTTGTATCCCACTTTCCTCAAGTGGGGCGTCCAGAGGGCCTCCGTGATCAAAATGATCGCTGATCGGCTCTGCGTTCCTCTGTTCGATCAATCGGGCAGCAGCATCGGTGAGGCCGATGTGAAGACTCTGCGATTTTGCTCGCAACAGTTGGAGTGCCTCTCCGGTGTGGTAGGCAAGCTACCGTCCGCGACGGCAGACTTGACGAAACAACAAAGAACGCTGAAACGCGTGTCCACGTACTTTCAAGTGCTCCTTTGGTTCTACGACGTGGGACTGTTGCCCGAGACGCAGGACTTGGAGGAGGAGGGCACTCTGCGTATCTCCTTAACGCTGAGAGTGCCTTATCCCTATGAGAAGCTCTCGGCGCTTTACAGAGAGAAACGAGCGCAGCTTCCAGCAGACAGCGGCGGTAACGAAAACGAGGAGGATTTGTTCATCGATGAGCTGATAACGCGCGAGTGTTCCGTATTGAAGACACAGTGGGAGAGAGAAGGTGGCACCGTCATGGCCGGCTACTATCCACCGCCGTCGCTGCAATCGTTGCTGCGAAGTTATTTGGCTGATTGTCATCAGACGGAAGCAAATGAGATCAGCTGCAAGCATCAGATTACGATTTACCTTCTGATGGATTTGGCTATGCTGCTGCAACGGCTGTATCCCGCGGTGGATCAACTCATCAAGTATCCGTCTGCTTTCAAGATGAGTCCCAGCCTCATTAAGCTTACTCAGGCGTTCTGGCTACTTGACCACGAGGACTACCAGGGATTTCTCGACATGATGACTGGGCAACTGGTCTCCGACTCTGACGTCCGGGATTGGCATCACAGGCTCATTCTGCGCACCCTGGTGCGTAACAATCAGCACAAACTGGCGCTCGTGTATCTGCGCGTGAGGAAACCGCCTCTGTCCTCCATGGAGGAGCAAGGTGTTGCTATGAGCCTGTCTGTAGAACACGGTCTGGCGCAGTCGGCCTTCCATCGCCGGCCACCCTGCCACTACGAACAGCTGCTAACCTGCTTCTTTCGAGCGTGCAAAAAATACGGCAAGCTCACCGAGATTCTACATCTGGCGCTGGACTCCGAAGAGGAAGAGGTGTTCATCAAGTTCCTCGAAGAGAACAAGACGGAGGATTTGCGGCTACTGTACTATCTGCAACGATGTCGTTACACGGAGGCGATTAGCGGCCACACTTTTCGGCAGTACGAGTCAAATTTTACCAAAAATATACAGTCCACGTCACACAATATGCTCAGCGCGTACAATACGACCTTACCGGACATTATAAAGCAATTCTCCACGAGCACAGCTGCGAGCAACATGGACGTGGATCTAAAGGCGCGTTATCCAAGACCGATGTCGCATTGCAAGAGCCACGACAAGTTGCGAAATATATACGAAACGGTGATCGCGAAAGCTAAGGAGACCTATCTGCGAGGCGAAAAGTGTCAGATCCCGTTCGTCAGCGCGCCTTGCACGTCGCTAAAGCTCAACAGTTACAGCGCGAACACGAACTGCGTGCTGTTCCCGGCACTGGCGCCCAAGAGCCGCGGCAAGCGCACGGTGGATCAGATTTACGAAGCAGAAGATGCTAATGTGAACGACACGCCGGACAACGCGAAACGTCGAAAACTGTCGGACGAGAACATTTCACTGAACAGACAAGATCCGAAGGAGACGGGATTAACGGCGGTCTTCGAGACGCCTTTGGTAAAGCGCAAACTTAACGCGTCCGCGAAAGACAAGGAGACTGTGTCTGAGACGCCGCAGTCGATCCTGAAGATCAAGCAGCTCATAAGAAACTGTCCATCGCCCGATGTCACGCTGTCCGAAACGGTCGAGGTCACCGACGGGCCGTCCGACAACGAGAGGGAAAAGAAAATTAATAGACAAATACGATTTAATTTTAATCAATCCAAAAAAGCCTTAATGTATGAAGAGGAGGAGGAAGAGGAGGAGGAGAAAGAGAAGGAAGAAGAAAGCGGCAATAATCTGAGCGTCAGCGACGAGATGTTCTTCAGCCCGAACGCGAACGAGAAATCGGCGTACTACGAAAGCACGGTTCTGAGCGACAATAGTAGCATCTCCAGTAGCATGTACCGCTACGCTCGTCCGCGACCCAGTCTCAGAAGAAGTGCCTTATCGCTTGTAGAATCGCCGCAGGCGTCTTGCGCGACGAAAGCGAATGACACGTCCGTAAACTTGTCCGCGATCACGTCGTCGTGTCACGACGACGTTAAGAAACAGTCGTTCGTTTCGAATACATCGACGAGATGCGACTCACTCATGACCTCCATTTATTCCTCCTCTGTGCTAGACTCTGACACCAGCGTCGACATCACCTTTTTGAAAAAACCAAATCGCAGCAGCAACCAGTCGCGACGGAAATCTTCCACGGAAATGGATTATAACAATAAATCTATCATTTCGTCGACTCCTATGATGAAAAGTAAAGCTCCTGAGCCACGCGTTAAAGTGGACGACGAGGAAAAGAAATTTGTCTTGCAGCTCATGCAGGAACTTGATGCTACAGATTTGAGCAATTCCGAGAAGGTTTTGAATATCGAACACCCTGATTACGGCAGGAGCGATCTTCCAGAACGACGAGATAGTTCAGAGAAAGACTCGGCGCAAGGTAAGAGTCAGCAGAGCGAAACCAGATACAACAACGGAAGCATTGCGAGGAAAGAGAGTCCGAGCTTGCAGAATCTTTACGAGGAGCAGCCCGCGTCCACCGAAATCGAGATGGAAGCCGCGGAAATCGTCTCGGACGAATCCGACGAGGAGCTACTTCGATTGCAGGACACTGAGGAAGAAGACGATGAACACGAAGAGGAGTTTGAGAGTGTGTCTACGGTTCAGGAAGACGTGCAGGAGATGGATCCCGTTATCTCTTCGTCTGAGAACTGGAATTTGCAATGCGGAACAGAAGAGCACGGCGCCGCGAAGTCGAACGGCTTGCGAGAATTTATGCAAGTGATGGCTAACGTTGATTTCACCGACGACGAGTCCACGAAAAGCAGAGGCGTAACACCGGTGATATCGGACAAGACGGGTAATAACGAGAAAGAGAACTACTCGTTGCCAATTGTTCCTTCACATGATATATTGTGTGACATGTCGAATATCACAGACGACGAATCGGATTCCAATACCAGAGAAATTGAAAAGCCGAAGGCGAAGAATGGCAGAGTCTCGAATTTAACAGAACAACATGTGACGCAGAGTGTCGACGCAGAGAAGAACAGCGAATCCGATGAAAGGAGTCGGAGATCGAGTAGGAGAGAAAGTGTCTCGAAAAAGAACGCGAGTCAAATTTTGTCACAGCCTGATGTCGATAACGAATCTAGGAGCGTTCATTCGAGCCGTAAAGTAGACCGCAGTAGGCTTGAAATGTCGACCGATTCTCAAAAGCTCAAGGAATCGATTGAATCTCAGGAAAAGCTGTCGGAGACCAAAAGTTCCTCGACTAGTAAAAGAAGTCAAATTGAAACCACGAAAAGTCCGGTTGTAATGTTGACCAAATTGACAACGAAAGATGCTACGGTGAATACCTCGCTGCAACAAGAGGAACCGGAAAGAGTCACCCGTCTACGAACTCGAAGAGGGAGTTCGGTGACGAAAGATTCACCGTCGCGAAGTATCACGGAATCTTTGCGATCGCGAAGAGCGAGCTCGATGGCGAAAGACGCGCCGGTGGATTCTCCGTCGCAAGATGCAGACGCCGAGGAGCCTCCTCCGCAATTGCACAGGGCGACTTCGGACACATTCGGATCATCAGAGGCTTCGTCGCAAGAAACGAATTACGATAAACCGCCACGATTGAGGAGAGCAGGTTCGATAACAAAGGATGTGGATTCTCCGTCGGGAAAACCGCGTGGTCGAAGAGCGAGTTCTCTTGCAAAGGAAGTGCTTATAAGCGTGGAAGATCTCGCGACTCCGTCGGAAAAATCGGTTAGAAGAAACAGCAGATCTATATCCGTGACGAAAGAGATTGAGGTCAAGGACAACGACACCGAGAGCGTCAAGGATGATATACCGGTAAGGAGAAGCACGAGACTTGCTTCCGTAAAGAGGGAATATAATTCTTCTAAGGCAGACACACAGAAAAGCCTTGCGAAGTCAGAGAGTGAACTCGTAAAGCTGACGAGCGATGACGAAGAGGATAAAAATACGAGGAAGAGGTCCCTACGCGCGAGGACATCTTCAGTGTCATCTGATACGGAGAAACCGACCACGAGCAGATCTCTAAGATCGTCCACGAGGGATTCCAAAGAGGAATTGGAGGAGGTAGAAGTTAAGACAAGACGAAGACGTGGTAGTTCAGTGCCTAAGGAAGCTACAGCGCGAACCGCAAGGATACGTAGATCCAGCAGTATAATAAAGGAAATTATCCCGGAAGAAGCCGAACCTCCAGAAGAGAAGACTGAGTCGCGGAGACTCAGAAGTTCCACTGCGAGGACTGCGAACGAGGTTGTGAATAAACTGACGACGCGCAGCCGAAGTGCGTCGTTGCTATCGATACCGGAAGAATTGGAGGAGATTTTAAGTCCGTCGTTGAGGGAAACGAGATCCACCAGAAAGAAGGAGGCTTTGAAAACCAACACCAGAAGAAGAAGAGCGATTAGCGTTGACGTGCCGCAAAACGAATTGAAGAAAAGGGTCAGAAATATTCACTCGAGAAATCTCGCGTCGCCAATCATAGAAGAATCGGTGGATGAGAAGATTCAACTTCAAGAAGATGACAAGTCGGAGAACGAAGAAACTCCTGTACCTAGAAGAAGGGCGGCATCGATGGTCAAGGAGATGGAAAAAGTCACGGAGAAGCGGAAGCGAGGCAAGACCAGTGCTAATGAAGAATCCAGCAACCTGTTTTCCTTTTCGCAGCCGGAGAAGACGGATGACATGCCATTGGATGAGAAAGGTAAATTGGACCTATGTCTGCTCGCCAAGTGAATGGTTTTTATAGGTTTTTATACCGTAGTAAACCTTCGGTAAATAATAAAAATTATGAACCAATTTGCATTTGTAATTTTCGAGCGTTTTTGTGCGCTTTATATATTTCTGCTATAGATTTTCCTCACTAAAGATATGAATTTTTCTAAAATTGATTTTCATCAATTGACACACTGTGGCCTAATACCATTCACTTATCGAGCAATGGATATTTAAACATGGAACAATTTGTGGTGAAATCGTGGTTTTCAATTTTCAGATATAGGAGAAGTCCCGAATTACGTGTTCTCATTACCGAAATCTAAAATTCCTCCGGATCAGCCTCGTAGGTTGTTGTTTATTAATTGATTTGATACGATTTTTATTTTTCTCGCACTGCTATGTATTTTCTCGTTTTTTTATGCTGTAATCGCTTTTCTTTAATCTTATCTGAGAGATTTTAAGTTGGTTTACTCTATGTTTGTTTTCCACAGAAAAATAGGCTCGTTCATACCGAGTCCTTATCAACAAGGAGAACAACAGCCCATTATCTGGAAACCTGACATCAAGCCTTGTCCCCGTTTAACTATAAATAGTTTCAAAACGCGACTTCGGGAAAAATTCGTTATACGTAAAAGATCTAAAAGTACAGATTAAACAGTGAGCTTTCCCGAAAATTCTGATAAATTATCGCGCATCTTTTCGGTTTATAAATCTCTCAATGCTTCTAAATTTGATTCATATTTTTCTTTTGGCTTTAATATATTTTTTATCTATTTATGTCAATTAAAATTGCCTATATATATATATAGGATTATTCATCACCAATACTTTTTAATTTAATTCCATTATAATACTTAAAATTTTTCCTAACATAATGCGCGAAATAAATGGAAAATGATAACACATTGCATATATAAAATTGTTAATTAGTTCCAATGTTTATGTTCTGATAAGGATATTCATATAGTACAAAGCGATTTTGCTGGTAAGATGAACAATCGTTAATGTCGGCAAACAAGGATAGATAGAATTATTGAATTTGGGTATTTAAGCGCGTAATAAATCTTAAATGTTTCTTTTTCTTTTTGGAATCGATTATTTTACCATAAACAGTAAAACAACCACTTAATTTTCAAAACATTTAGGATTTATTGCTTCAATACTTGATCTAATAATTTTATGCACTTTTATTCGTTAAACAAGAGAAGGATTTTGTGCGCTATGCTGGGACCATGTAAAAGGTTTTTGTTATTATGTAGAAATATCGAATTTTTGTTACCGATGGCCGCATGCTTAGAACTTGTTGGAAACTTGGGTAGTTTTGTTGTGTTTTTTTTCTTTGCGAACAACTGGACTTCTTCTCATAGAATGTCCGATATTAGGTAAAGTAATTTTTCTTTCCTCTTTTTTTAACTAGGATATATTTTAAGTTATGGTAAGTGTTGATCAATTATAACTGCGGTACTTAGAATATATGCTAGTACGATATTGATTAAAGATATTTTTTTTAAAGTAATGTACATGTAGTCTCAAAGATTGCTTTCGCAATGAGTAAACCGATACAACTCAAATAATGCTATATGTGTCAATCGCTTATAATGAAAGAATTATGTTTCAATCTCAGATATATCAAGTTACTTCTACGTTTCGAATTAATAAGTGTACAGAGAGATGATAGCTACAGTTGAAAATCGATCTTTCATGTCCAAAAAGTATTTAATGATAAACTATCATTGAAAATTGTATTATATCACAATACTTTTTTTTACGATTACAATAGTATTCATTTCGTTTATATATAAACTTATAAAATATATTCACTGTTAATAATTTGTTTTCCCCTTTTTTTATCTTAATACTTCTAGAATTCGACTTTGTAGCGCAAGATCTCTGTTATACTTCTCTTGACTTCCATAGTATTTTCGACAAAAATGGCAATGTATTATAACTTTGTAAATAATTTATTAAACATACGCAAGTATAGTTGTATGAATACAATAAATGTAAAGGAAAAATAATACATATTATCAAAAAGAGAAAATCCTCCAATCACCACAAATAATACGTCGTTACAAATAAGCTTATATATTCTAATGGAATATTACCTGAAGCTATGGATACAGATTCTCTTATCGTTTCTTATATAAATTAGTAAATAATACATTGTATATATAATAAAACTACGTACGTTCATTGCAACGATCGAGATTTAATGATACATAAATTCTAATAGTGTTTCATAAGTGTCGCTTCGAAATTGTAATTAGTTAAAAATATTCTTTTCTTTTTTGGGGGCGGGGGAGGGGGGGGGGAGGAGATATGACAACTATTATTAGTATTTTTCATGGCTATTTTGCGTTCTAACTTTTCAAAATATTAGGATCAACAATATGGCTAAGCATTTTGAAAGCTTGCTCATGTTTCAAAGTTTGGAAAAAATTGCAATACTTAACACTCGCTTAATATAGATCTTTATGCACGCATAATACACACGCCTTCCTTATTAACACTTTCATCTATCTGTTTAAAGGCCAACATTAAAGTGTTATCTTTGGCAGTGTTGTCATCTGTTATGTACTATCTTACTACCTATAAAAGAGTTTCAAATAGTCACGACTTATGATCGAATTAATGTCGCAGATCATCTAGAGAGTCCTTGTATACAGTCTGCAAAACATTCATGCTATATAAGCAAATTTGAATGTATCAAAAGCACGAGATTCTCTTTTACATTTATTTTCTATTTAAACGTTGAGATAAAATCTGAGACAAAATTTATGGAAACTTCTACGATTTTCTATTCTTTTAATCATGATTTGTTCACGCGTTTCAATTACACTTTGTGCGTTTGACCCATCTACGAATTATGAGGCCATGTGATATAAACTTTTGCAGTCAATCAACGTATGTAACACTGCTTAATTGTCACATCTAAGTGCACGAAGCTGAATATATCTCTTACAAACTGTTCTTTGATTGTCTACGATACTTTTTTTGCTCTTACTTTTTGGTAAAAGTGTAAAAAATTCTAATACTGAAAAGAGCATTATTATCAATAAAGTGATTTTTTGATAGTCTAGTATCTTATATATATTTAATAGCAAGCAGACGTGATAAACGTAGCAGCAAGGACGGTACAATTTATCCACTTGGATATCAGCATCGTAGCGTCATTATTTTATCTTGATTTATTGCTGAGTAATTCATTAATTTGCATCAAGGCCCTCCGATTCGTATGCCCTTTAAAAGGCACATTGTATTTCGCGCAATACGAATTACATCATTGCGTAAGATATGACAGTACACGCTATAAAAAAAAATAATTAAAAAATTCTGAGATATACAATTTTTTCCGAGAGAAAGTCAAGAATAAATCAAATAAATGCATTATCAACAAAATTGCACTCTTTCAAGCAAACCTTCGAAATAAACATAGCTTATACTAACTTACGTCACCGTTCAATGGCAATATAAAAAAAAGAAAATGAAATATACTTTATAAAAAAATACTGATCTTAACTCCCACGACATTATTGATTTTACTGATGCTTACAGCCGTCTTTGACGCGCCGTTTGTGCTTCTCCTCATGCGTATTAGATGGCGACTGAACCTGATTTCGTCGCTGCCCTTGAATCGGCATGTAACAAGGTACGTCATCAGTCATCAGCTCCTGCGGCGGCGTTGGCAGTGCATACGTAGGGCTTACTGTACTACTCGAGCTGCTCGAAGTACCCCGATGTGCGTTGTAAGTGGGATCGATGATGGCCGCGACGTTCGCCATTTCTCGCACATTATCGGTATCATCCAGCGTCTGGATCTCCTCAGGATCCGGATACTGTGGGTAATTGACGGGATTACGAGCTCGATTTTTGACCGGCGGAGTCCGTAAGTCCAGTCTGTCCGGTCTCTGAGGTCGTTCCACCAGATTTTGCTCGTCCAACTGTTGTTGCTGCTGCTGTTGCTGCAGACGTTCTCGCTCCAGCTTCTTCTGCTTCGCTCTCTCTCGCGCTCTGCGCGCTTTCGCGCGCTCCTTATCTTGAAGCATACGCGCCAATTCAGCATCCTGCGCCTCCATTGCTAATTTCTGATCCAACATAAATTGCTCGCTTTCCGGATCCTCGTGATTGTCTACCTCTTCTTTTTTCTGCAACTTCCTTGCCAGTTCCTGTTATGTGAGATGAGTTTTGACGCTTGTATGCATTTTTTATATTGACAAAGAATTGTATGTTTTCTAGATATCAATGAAGATATTAACTTCTAAGCAAATTTTCAGAATTACCTCATCTTTTTCTTCCTGTATACGCTTCTCAATCTCCTGCTGCATAGCCTCATCTCCCAACCTTAGCTGTAATCTCATCAACTCTTGCAATTCACGTTCTCTCTGCTTCTCTTCTCGCTCCAGAGAAAGTGCAATCTGCCTTGCAACGAGCGCATCTCTCTCTTCCCTTTAAAGAAATAAAAAAATATTTCAGAACATTTCACATTTTACGAAACAATCATGTATCTTTAAATATCATTGTTACTAACTGTTGTTGAACGTAGCTTTGATATCTCAATGCTTCTAATTCCTGTTCAACTTTGGCTCGCGGTAAATCTTCCCTCACCTGCGCATTACGTGTTTTGTTGCCGGTGTAATGCTCCTTGACTATGAATTGTAATAAAGAATCATATTAACTAAACATTAACCATACATTATTAAAGTCTTTTTATAAACATTAAATATTAGTAGATATATTATGTATATTAGTTGTGATATTGTATATTTTTTTCAATATTCTATTTAAATAGAGAAATTTCTATGAACAAAAAGAGCAGCACTATATAATTATTAATTAATTTTGCATTTTTTTTCTAAAAATATCCAGTTTTTTTTTTAAATTATCTTGTAATTTCAATTCAAGGGCAAAGTTTTCATTGTTGCAACATTATTGCGCTTGCTTCCATTCTTCCTGAGTTGGCAAATTTAATTAGCTCAGGGCAGTAGATTATCTTGAGACGACCCTGTTTAAATCTGGCATTCTCTCTGGCGCCACAAAAGACAAACGTATGTATAAGATTTTCACATACTTTCTTCATCCTGAAGCCGATAAGCCAGCGCTCCGTCCTCATGCACCAGCCATTCACGACACACTGCAAAATTGCAAATTCGCATTAGAGATGCCAATGCAATGAGTAATCGTGACGCGCGCGTGATCAAGACAGATCGGTTCTCGTTTGGTTGTACTTTCTCTTGCACTTTCCATACCTAAAATGAAATAAACTCGTATTCTCGCGCTCTTTACGGAGAGAAGGGAGAAAAGAATCAAGTGCAGAAAGTGCAAGCGAATCTTGTGACAGAAGGCGTCTGCGAGAAGAGAAGAAAAAACTCAATGTCTTACCTTCGTTCACGCGACCCGCCTTCGGTAGCGTGTCCGAGCTCAGCACGGATTTCGCCATTGCACGTTCTCGTCGATTTCACGCGGGACAAGCAGCAGAATCATCGACGACACCGTCTGTGTTTACAACCACTTTGCACGAGAGCAGCCGTGATGTTGTTTTCTCTCCATCTTGGAACGGACAAGTGAATAGCCACGGCTACATATACACACATACAGAGCACATACACACTTTCACCGCATGTTTCAGGTCTGGCAACGGGAGGAAAGCGCCCCTCAGGAATGAAGCCTTTGTAGGTTTCTTTCAAACTGGAAAAAAAATTTATTAGTTAGATGCAGCCCATTTGAGTTCGATATTTAATTTAAAAAATAATAAGTATAAAGAGAAGAAATCAATTAAACAAATTTATTAGAATACATGAATATATTTGTAGTATAATAAATATATAAAAGTTAATTATTTAATCAATTATTTTAACAATTATTAAACAATTATTATGACAACAATTGTGTATAGTTTGGTGTGGAACATGCATGGAAAAATTTGTAGATTTCATAATTTTTCTTTAAACATTAAAGAAATCAGCAAAGCATAATCTGTGAAATAGCTAAACCTTTTGTCGTTTTACTAGAATAATTAATTAGATTTGTCTACATAAATTTATCATTTAAAAAACTGAAATTATTTACAATGCTGTGAAAACTTAACTTATGCGATATTAGAATTTGGAATAAATTGTGAATAAATATAATTACCTGAATACCTGAAAAAGTATTGATAAATTACCAAATTTTCGTCAAAACAATTCAAAGTTTTTATAATGCATCACTTATACGGCTCTGATTGCCACTGCACATACATGCTTGCAGATCGATGCAACGCGATACCTCATACTTCGTAGTAGCGTAGAATCCGTAGTAAATCGGCCGTTGTGAATAATACCGTGGAAATGCATCCACTTGGGTGGGACGAGTAGTAGGATGATGTAGTAGCCGTGGTAATACATTTCAGGTCTGAATGGATGTGGAGCACGCGCGCGCATCCGATGAAAGGCGACGAGACCGTGGTGAAAGGGGCGAATCGAGAGCAACTAGGAGAAAGGTGCCCACCGAGGTCAATGATACCACGACTATCGAATGAGCTCGAATTGATAGAAAGACAAGATAGCTTCCGCAAGAAAGAGGAAGCAAGCAATACAATACTTATACATACACCTAGAATACAAATTTTATCAGTATTTCAGTAGTTGATAATTATATATTTATTCTTGAATAAATGTTACAATTGCAGAGATCTGTGTTACATGATTCATGTATTAGTTATATATTTACATAATTATATTTAAAATATACATAAAAGGTTATATATTCCCTGTATAAAAAATTAATAAACAATAATAAGCAAAATATATAGATAGATACAACAAGATAACAATGTTTATATATTTATATATAAATTCAAATCAAATATGGTCTTTTTAAGTGCAGCAATAGTATTGTGCACAATGTGTTTTGTCTGCTTAGACACAGAGATTTTAAATAAAAAAGTTTTTATAGTAAACTTCTCAGAATTATCAAATACAATCATAGCTGATTAATTTTTTATTATTACAAACATATTAATACTATTCTTTTGTTACTGTATAGAGCAATATATTGGACATATTAAAAATATCAGCCTTGCTTGTATTTGATAATTCTGCCAATTTTACTATAAAAATTTTTTTATTCAAGATGTCTGTGTCCAAGCAGACAAAATACATTGTGCACAATACTATTGCTGCACTTAAAAAGAACATATTTGATTTCAATTTATATATAAATATATAAACATTATTATCTTGTTGTATCTATCTATTATGCTTATTATTAATTTTTTATTATTATAAACATATTTAGACTATTGTTGTATTGCTGTACACAACAATACATTAGACATATTAATGATATCAGATATGTTTGTACCTGATAATTCTGAAAGTTTTACTATAAAAACTTTTTTATTTAAAATGTCTGTATCCAAGCAGACAAAATACATAGTGCACAATACTATTGCTGCACTTAAAAAAACCATATTTGATTTCAAAGATATTAGTTTTTGTCTTGTCTTTAAATTATCTTCCTGTTTATCCTTATAGAATTTATAAAATTTTGAGAACAGTTTGTCATACTGAAAAAAAAATAGAATTTTAGTTTAATAAAATTAGTTAATAGAATTTTAAATAACGCAAGAAATAAATTAGAAATTTTACCTTTAAATATGTAAGATTCAGTAAGTTTGTTGCAATATAAATTGAGCCTTGTGTTTTTTGAAGACCTGTTGCTGCCAACAAAATTTCAATGCAGTGCAACGGTGTGTTAAGAGGCATTTTGTAATCCACCGTTTTGAAAACTTCAATTTCTGAATCGAAAATCATCTTTTGCGTATACTCTGACTTTTTTGAAAGTTTATGCAGAACATTTAAAATCTAGTAAAAAAGAACAATAATTTAAAATACTACTAAGGTTAATCATTTTAGGAATTACATACAATTTTTTAATTCTTTGTAAAGTTTTAACATACTTGCAATATTCCCAAGTTAGCGCAATGAGAATCCATTTTACACGCCAATTGAAAACAAGACATAAGATATAATTTTGAATGCTTGGAATATTTTTTGCACATTTTAAACCATGCTGTTTCACACAAAGGACTTGCAGCCTTATAAATCTCCAAAAAACGTTTGCACATGAACACGTCATACAAATGAATGGCCATATATTTTACATGGGTCTCTAGTTCTAAATAATCCGCTATCACAAAGGCAGTCTTCATTGTAGGTGCTGAAATTGCTGTATAATAATTTAAATTAATATAAAATAATTGTTGTTGCAGCAGTAATATTGTCATTTAACACTTTATAACCTAATTTTTTTTAATGAAATGGTAAACCGATAAGATGCAACGCTAAGTTGCGGCGGAAAATTGAAATAATCTCCTTATTAGATAATATTACTTTATGTTTTGACATTATCAGATGTCTATTTTCTTCTTATTACCTACCTATAAATGGTATAATAAAATCTTTTATTTTAATGCGTTCCTGCTTCTGTTGTTCCACAATTTCTTGAAGATGTTCCACCCAGTCATCAATTAATGGTTCTGGCATTCAAAAATTTATATGAAAATAAAATAAAATAAATTATTACAATCTTCAATCTTTAATCTTTTATACAATAAACTATAGCAAATTACACTACTTTATTGATATAAAAGGTATAATTATTATTAATATTTTCCTTTTTCTATAAGGAAAAAATGTGAAAATACAGAATAAGAATTAAGCAAAATATGTATATTAAGTATTAGAAATAAATTAACATAAATTATTAAAAATAAATTAGTAATTACCAATGTAAGATGTATCCAGATCCATTTCGAATATGAATGTCCAACTAGAATATAAATGTATGTAAATACAATAGGGGGGCTGTGTTCACCACGTGTTCGTTATAAACTTCGTGCAAAACTTTGTAACCACATATTATATTAGATATATAACTTGAAACCCGCCCTCCAGCGATAAATAGCTGTAACTTTGACAATCGTCAACTGTAATAAGGCATCATTTTTAATTTTGACATTTGTCAATAATATTCAATATATAAAAGTTTGTGTTCGTGACAACAACATAGTTTTTTACTGCGAAAAAAATGTCTAAATTTCAATTAAATAAGCATCATTTGCGCGAAGCTTTGCTTTTCTGTTTCAATTTGAAGAAAATTACTGCTGAATCTCATCGAATGCTTGTTGAAGCTTATAGGAAACTTGCTCTATCGGAAACAACTTGCAAGGAATGGTTTCGACAATTCAAACTTGGTGATTTTGACACAAATGATAAAGAACGTCCAGGCAAAAAAAATTAAAAGATATAGAACTGCAAGCATTGGTGGATGAAGATTCATGACAAGCACAAAATCAACTTGCAGAAACATTGAATGTTACTCAAGCAGCCATTTCCAAGTGTTTAAAAGCTATGGGAAAGGTATACAAGGAAAGAAGATGGGTGCCATATGAACTGAAAGAGACATCAAAAGGCGAAACCATCTTCAAAATGCTGCTTGCCAGGCAAAAACAAAGGGTTTTTGCATCGAATTGTGACTGGCGATGAAAAGTGGATCTATTTCGATAATCCTAAACGCCGAAAAACCATTTACGACCTAGGCCAACCATCGACATCGACGCCAAAACGCAATATTCATGGGAAGAAGGCCATGCTCTGTATTTGGTAGGACCAGAAGGGTATATTGTGGTATATTATGAGATACTGAAACCTGGTCAAACAGTCACAGGGGATCTCTATCAACAACAAATAATCCGTTTGAACCGAGCATTGCGCGAAAAACGACCAGAATATGAGACAAGACAGCATGAAGTAATCTTGCTTCATGACAACGCTCGACCTCATGTCACTAAGACTGTCAAGGAAACATTGGAAGCACTTTGCTGGGAAGTGCTATCCTATGCGGCTTATTCACCAGACTGTGTCCCTTTCGACTACCACTTGTTTCATCGATGGCACACGCACTTGCTGAGGAACACTTCAACTCATGAAAGCGTCGAAAAATAGGTCTCTGACTAAATAGCCTCTAAAGATGAGTCGTTCTTTTGCCGTGGGATCCGCTTATTGCCAGAAAGATGGGAAACAGTCATATCTAACGATGGCCAATTTTGATTGATGTATTTTTTTCATTTGTTTCTTAAATAAAGGCTTAATTTTTGCAAAAAAGGCGGGCTTCGAGTTATAGACTAATATGTACAATTTTCAAGATGACAGGTACATCTTAATTATAGAACAAGCGACTAAATTCCGATTAAATTTCAACAATCAGTAATTTTGTATAGACGTATAATAATAGACTACGCGTTCCCTATTAAGGAAATGCCTCACTTTAGAAAGAGACAGCTAGTGTTGAACAGTAATCTCATCTTTGTCTAGTGAAGCAGTAAGGGGAAAAAAAGTCTTCGTTGATTGATAAATATTGATTGACAGAGAGAGAGAGAGAGAAAGAGAGAGAGAGAGAGAGAGAAAAAAAAAGTTACTGTTACAAAACATGTCTTCTTTACTAAAGTAGAATACTAATTTTTCAGCCGTGTGTCG